AAAAAAAAAAAAAAAAGATGGCAGGGCCCGAGCCAGGTCTCTCCCATGGCTGAACCCCAGCTCTCTTGTCCATCCAGCAGAGGCTTCGGACAGTCCTGAGATGCCCTGCAGCTGAGCATGCTCTCTTTCTAAGTCTTGTCTTTCGAAAAAATGGGTTCCCATATAATAGAGAGGAGAAAAGGACCTCTTCTGAGCGCAGGATCCTTCCTAGAGTCCTAGAAATGATAGCATGTGGGCAGTTACATATCTTGTATATAGGAAGGCCTGGCTCTGGCAAGCAAGGTAGGAGATGAGGCAGGATGAGTATGCTGTTGAGGAAGGAGCTATGGATGGACAGAAGGTTGGCCCAAGAACTGGCTGAGCAACCAGGGTTGCACTGAGGGCATGTCCCAGGCTGGGAGGAGTGGGGACCACATCCCAGACCTACCAGTACTGCCATCAAAGCCCCCCACAGCGTAGAGCAGGTCATTGAGTACGGCTGCGCCCAGAGTGCTCCGGCGCTCCTGCATGCTGGCGATGGATGTCCACTGGTCCTTCACACCGTCATATACATCCACGGTTCGCACTCGCAGTGAGCCATTAAACCCGCCCACAGCATACACGTGACCAGCCATGAACACCACACCTGCACAAAGGAAACCAAGGCATGGAGGTCATCTCAGGCGGCTGATCACTCATGCGGTGACGATGTGACAACAGGGGAGCCAGGCAGTCACATGAATAATTCACCACAGTGATCTCCAACTTTACAGAACTGGAAGTGTTCATGGGGCTCACTGGATTTCTATTCATATATGCTTTTCCAATGTTGTTTGATTCAAGCAAATACTTGTCCTAGTGTGAAGTCCCTAAGCACATAAGAACCGACCCCAGAAGGGGCAGCCAGAAATCGGGCAAGGGGAGAAGGAAGAGGAGGAGAGTCTGTAAATGCATAGATGTTTGTGGACACAAGGAGCAGGGGAGGGTTTCCGGCAGTAAGCAGAGACAAGCTGGGGAAAGGCAGGCTGCAAAATGACAGATGGTGCTGCTCACCTGCTCTGCATCTCCTGGAGGGAAGCTCAGCAATCTGGTCCCACCGGTCCTCTTCGAAATCATAGCATTCCACGCTGCGGATCGCCTTGGGGGCCTGGCCACCAACCACAATCATGACCTCCAGAAAAACAAACAGACATTAGCTGGGTCTCCCCAGCTAATGGATGCATGTGTGATCAATCCCTGGTCCTTGCACACGCCAACTGCCCAGGGTCCGTGAGTGACCTGACGTGCCAGTTTACAGAGTTACATACATGGAGATGCTACCCCGAATCACCAACAAACAGGACGATTCAAGAAAAGTCTAACAAGGACATCTTGCCACAGAAACACCATCATGAGGTCTACACTTCCCAAATACCTATGCTCAAGGCTATGCTGGTGGTACGTGTAGCCACTCAGGGCATGCTCTACAATCTCACTGCCCTCAAGGATTTGGGCCCGGGGGGATGAAATTTTGTATCAAAACAAAATATTCCAAAATATGTGTCAAAACTTGAATCTATTTTGGAATAGAGTGCAGAAGTTGGATGCATTTTGAGGAGAAAATCACCTCAAAAATATTTCTGAATACACAGACTACAGGGAACACTTACTCATTGTAGTCTGGGGCAAAATTGTGAAAGACTGCTTTGGGGTAGTGACCACAGAAATGTATATAACTGCTGATGCTCTGAAAAACAGTGCTAACAATACTGTTCCCACGAGTATGGCAGTGGCTACCAGTGCTAGTCACCATGTGCAATGTGTTGTCATTTACGTGTCACCAAAACCCCATGAGGGAGATATTATCCATATTGACAGATGAGGAAGTTAAAGCTCAGAGAACATAAGTAAATTGCCTACGGTCACACAGCTGAGAGCAGCAGAACAGAGACCGAAAACCAAGTCTACCTGACTTGGAGGTGAAGGCAGCCCCACCCCTCTCCCACTCCAGAGACAGAGTCCACGCAAAGACAGCTCATTATATCCATGTTTTTCCAAACCGTAGGTCACATTTCATGGGTGGGTCATGAGAAGAATTTTATGCATTGCAACCGGCATACTTTTAATAGAGCAGCACAGAAAATATAACAAGGGTGTTACTTCACGAAACACTTGTTGGGGTTATACACACATGTAGGTGTCTCCTGGATAACAATTTAAACGTATTTCTTATTGTAGGGTATCATCCGAAAAGAAAGAAAGAAAGAATGAAAGCCACTGGTCCAGCTATAGTAACAGAACCACAGCATTTAACTGTGGTATCCCTGTTGCCAAGATTTTGGTCACACGTTATTCATCAATAAAAAATAAAGTAGCCAAGTTAACAATAGTGTACACATTTTAATAAACTTGTGCAAATTCATGGCCGCCCCCATTAGGACATCACGCTCACTGGCATTCCAAGATGCCTTCTTCTGTGGCAAGAAGGGGGTGGAAATCACAGGCAGCCCATCAGTAGGAGTCTCAGGATGTTCTCATTACCTGTAGCTTGTATTATTTACTCCTATGTTTCTCAAGCTTCAGTGTGCATCAGAATCACCTGGTGGGTTGTTAAGACACAAATTATTGGGCCCCTGCCAGAGGTGCTGATTCAGCAGGTCTGGAGTGGGACAGAGAATGGGCATTTCTAACAAGTTCCTGGTTGAGGTTGATGCTGCTATTCCGAGATTCATACTTCGATAACTACTGTTTTCACCCTTGGACCACAGGGTTTGCTGATGTTCCATTAACAATTTCTGCCATTATGAACTACCATAGTACTTTTACTTCTCCACAACAAATGTTTGGGGAGAGGAGTGATGATCAAAATCTATGTGAGCTCCCAAGAGTACATGCCTCAGATGAACAGCATCTACACCAGGAGGCAGAACTGGAGCCGACAACTAGTGCTCATCCACCATTTATGCCCCAAGACTCCAGATCCAGGCTCACCCACTGCCCACATGCGTGGTCACAGCTGTCTGTGGTCAAATGTGGGTGTCCAATGTTCAAAAACTCAGAAGTCACTTCTGACTTCTGGAACATTCCAAAGGAACCCAGGACACACGGTCCAAGCTTAGACTACTGTGACTACTTCTGGAAATAAACATTCTACATTTGACTCTCCATTAGGCAGCTCAGGGGGTCTGCTGCTCTGTGTCAAGAGGGGCCCTTGTCGGAGAAAAGCTGAATTCGACATTACTTCCCTTCTGTAATCCTTTGCTTAGGCATCCAAGAACAGTTTAAGGGGGATGTTAATGAACACAGCCTCTTGGCAAACTCAGACTATGCCCACCTTACTCCTCCGGGGCCCAGTGACTTGCCGCGCATTCTTAAACATGCCTAGAACGCGCACTGTCCTTCTGGTTTTGAGTTGGTAAAGCTAAAGCGAAGGCACAATACTGTAATAATTTTCTATGAAATCTGGTTTGGGGGACTAAGTAAGAACAAAACCAGGTTTTAGTTTTCTTTCTGCAAACACCTCAGGCACTCAACACCTTCTGTTCCCTCTCCATGAAACATTCTTTCCCCTGTCTGGATCCCTCTGCTCTAACACATGCTTATCTTTCAGGTGTCAGTTGACCAAGTGTCACCTCCTCCAAGAGGACTTCTCTGATCTCACATCTGAGTTACTGTCCCTTCTCTGCGATCACACATGCCCTGGGTTCTCTTATTAAAACTGCCCCACATTGTGCTGTAACTGCCTGGCTACCTTGTCTCCCTGGTGAGATGGTGACCCTGGCCAGGACAGAAAATGTATCTACCTCAATCACCAAGATAATCCTAGGGCCTCATGGTGTCAGGCAAAAGTAGGACTCAGATACTTGGAATAAGGAATGAACAAATGGTTAGTAGCATATGCAAAAAGCCGAACCAAAAAATACAGAGTCAAATGGAAGAAAATACACGGTCTAGAATGTCACTTTCTGGGATTAAGATATGTTGGACACTAGATTACAATTCTGGAGACAGAATTTGAGAGGAAAAAAATAAATAAAAAGAGAAAAAGAGAACTTTTCCCATCTTTTCACTCAACCACCAGGAGAAAGACTGCTTATTCCCTGTACAAGTTAACAGGCTTCCTCGGTAAATAAAATTTTAAAAAATAGAACAAAATAAAGGCAAAGCTTTCAAGGAACCTCACCATGCCCCAGAAACCATCTTATGCCGGGGGTAGGGAGGTATATTCGTACTGGAGAAAATCCAGTACTCATCTCTGAGAATTTTCAGAGTCACACAGAAACACATTATACAAATGCAAAAAAATGTCAATGGTAAGGTAAAACCTGAGTAGAAAGACAAAAGTAATACAGAACAAGGTTTTGAAAATAAACTTGCCTTGGAGTTTATAAAGCCACTGCTGAGACACAACTTTTAATATTCAACTTGTACAATGATCTGGGAAGAGTAATTATGAGGTTTTGTGGGGTAGGACCATTGGTTTCTGAAGATGCAGAGGTAGCTCAAGGCAGGGGGAGGAGAAGGTGTACCTTCTGCTTCGTTCACAGGCCTAAGAAATCCAATTTCTATGGCAGGCCTTGCAAGAAGCCATCACACAAGGAACGCTATACTCGTGTAATCGTGCAGAGTAAAAGAAAAACATTTCCTATCTTGAATACTAACGGAAGACTGTTTCCATAGATACCTGATCTTAGCAACCAATTAGACAAAAATGAGTACTCCCCCGAGTCTACATGCATGACATCTCTAAAATTATAAACCTCTAGCTACTTAGGAAGACCGTAAGATGTCAGGGCATGGAGACAATTAAACAGTTCTTTCCTGCAAGCCCTCATTTTACATTTCCAGAAAAACTCAGGCCCAGGATGTTTCCCAAGCATATTTCTTTCTGTCCCCCACACCCCTGAGTCCCAATTTACTGAAGACTTGTAATGCCAATAATAGAAATTACTGAGTCCGATCAGCTAAATGATTGCTATTTTTAACGTGTATCCTTTAAGGTAACCCTGAGAAAGAACTACCAGGGGTCATACAGGCATCACAATAAAGAACTGGCTCCAGGCTAACAATTATGCTAGACCAAACACAATTCACTCATGTTCAAGAAGTGCAGTGTACTTGGGAGTCTGGCAGCACACCGCAGGGTCCTAACCCCAAGTCTCAAGAGCCACGGTGTTGAAGGCTGCAGAAGTTCTGGTGGATGGAGAATTCTGGTTGACAGAACACAGGTGAGCCAGACTCAACCGTGGGCGGCAAGGCTGTTGGACAACCCCCAAGGGAAACACTCTCATTTTGGAAAGTCCAATGGCCATTTATTGTAGGGAGCTTAGTGAGACCATGGAAAGACTACCTGATTCCTTAGGAAGGAAATTTCACTCCCAGCCTAACAAGATGGTTTTTAAATAAATATATAAGGCTGTCTCCTTCCATGGAGGATTTAGACTGCAGCACCGTGCCGGGGGAAGTGAAGGCATGTATGAGTATGACAACCAGTCTGTGTGAGAGCCACGAGGTACCCGGTACCCGAGACTAGCCAGGGACAGGTGCAGTAGGGGAACAGAGCAGAGCTTTCTGGCTCACCTGTCAGGCACGACCCTAACCTCTAAGTCATTAGACTCTCCACTATGGTGAGAGGAACGATCTGGGCTCTGTAAACTTTTTTCATCAGGCAAGAGTGGAGGGTGTGTCCAAACTCTCTTCCATGACCGGTGAGCTGGGCAGAAGGCAGGCCCAGCCAGTCGGTCCCTCGGGCCAGGGCAGGAAGCGAGAGTCTCTCTTACCCTGGTGCGTGGGGCCGCAGGGCTAACACCAATTCATCCGAAGGAGCATGTCGAGGTCGAGGCAGAAGACTTGTCCCAGCAGGTTCCTGAGCAACAGGTGCTCGAGGCAAGAACCGACAGCCAAAGTGCAGAGACAGTGTGGCGGGTGGAGAACCAGCAATGTGAGAGCAAGACCCAGGGGAGGGAGAAGGAGTGGGAACATGGATTTTGGAGTCAGACACATCTGGGCTCAGGTTATCAGCCCAGTCACTAAATAGCTGTGTGACCATGGGCAAGAAATTTAACCTTGCCAAACTCACTTTCATTACCTATATTATCAGGATAATAGGATGTTTCTCTCATGGGTGTCAGGAGCCTTAAAGGACAAAAAGCACGTAGCACACAGCTTGGTACATCACACACACTAAATGTT